TATATAATATATATATTAAAAATAATACTAAGATGCTATATCCTTACCTGGTAATGATTGCTAAATGAGGAGGGTTCATGCATGCTCCCATGAAGAGTACCACGTTCTCATGCCGGGTCTGTCTATAGTTCATCACCTCCTTTTTAAAGAGCTTGAGATGATCCTGATTGTTCCCGTCTATCTCCAACAGCCTGATGGCCACCTCCCCGTGCCATTTTCCCTTGTAAACCTTGCCCCATCGTCCTTGGCCAATAGGATCCCCCAGTTCAATCTGTTCAAAGGGAATGTCCCATTCTTGCAGGTAGACGCTGGTCTGGCTAGGTTTGCGATAAATCATCCCTTGCAAGTGTGGCCGTCTGTTTGGCAAATCTTCCACCTCATCCTCATCATCTTCAGGTTCTGATTTATTACTCTCTGGTTCTTCCACCTGTTTACAAAAAGAGAAGGGAAACATAGGCTGAGTCCCACCTGAGGGGCAGAAGCAGCCTACCAGCCAGCAGCAAAGGCTGCTTTGACTCAGCTTCAGGGGGCTGGATGTACGCATTTGACTACGGCTCTAGAAATACACCTCACAGGACAGACATCTCGGAAGGCTACAAAAAGACATACATCTTCGCTATGTCAGTGCACGCAGGTGAAGACAAGAAAGGCTTTATCCCATATAAAGTTAAATTTGTAGAACCGGCACTAACATGTAGGGACTCAGCATCTCTCAGGATCTGGCCTTTAGTGTGGGGAAAAATACTACAAGACCACTCTAAAAGGAAGGGCCAAGAACCTCTTTGTTCTTCAAATAAATGTGGGTGGGTTTGGGGTTGGGTTTTGGGTTTGTTTTTTTTTTTATTACTAAAATTCTCCTGTTAGGGAGAAATGCTCCAAAATTCAGCAAATTCCAGTAATTTCTGCTGAAATAATTGATTCTATCTCTATAGGTTTATTCATCCCTACAGAAACCCATTTCAGTGTTCATACTACAAGCTGAACATGTGCTTAGGCACCACCAAAATCAGCCTTGTGAATAGGCATGGAAAGGCTCTCCTATGCAAAACGTCAGCTCATGGTAGATCCTGCAAAGCAAAGTGTGTAAGCATGGGCTTACGTGATCACAGGTAGCACCTACACATGCATGACTTGCAGATCTGAGGTCTGCAGAGCATTTAGACCTCGCAACTCCAGCAGCAGGCCTGCAGCTCTTGTAATGCAAAAACGGCTGCACCAAAGTGCGTGAGCCAGAAGTTTGAAAAATACCATCTTAGCCCAATTAGAAAAAGTTAAGTATTGTTACAAGTACGTAAATGTTTCGGCCTAGTTACAGAAACCATGAATTTTCAGTTGAGCTCTTTGCAGTACAAACAGGTCGGTGGAACTGAGGTAAAGGCACAGCTAGTCTACACTCGTAATTCCAGGGCCACGACTTTTTTATCGCACTTTCAACATGGCATTTCTGACTGTACAAAGGGGCAAACCAGAACACCTACCTCTGCTTCACATTCAACTCCACCTGTGTCTGGCCGTTCATGAGCACTAACAAGAGAAGACAGGTTTACAGTGAAAATAATGTTTGCATATCCACCTGAGTTAGAAAAGTGGGCTGCTATACGCACCATGGAGTGGAAGGAAGCAAATAGAGAACAGATCTTGAGAGCATTATAGTAGGTCAGAGAAAAACACAATTACTGCTCCACTTAACAGATAAGGACTTTCTAAGCTTACTTCAGAAATGAGGGACAAAGACTTTGAAGTGGTTTTCAAGGATTAAGTGGCAGGAATTGATTTGGCAGTGGCATGGCTGCATTATTACAACGTGTTCCAGTAACAGATACTCCTATTCCCACTACTGAAATCCTACAGTGGAGAAGCAACTGTGAGCGCTGGCAATGCAGGCTAAAATCTTTTGCGTGCCCTACAACTCAGATCCTTAAAAAGATGTTTGCTTGCAGCTAAGCGTGTCATGCTCTTTTAATTGAAAAACTGTAACTTCTATCTCATTGGACCTTTCTGATCTCAAGAATGCACATATAACCATAACTAGATATTAAAGGTGTGGACTTCTTACTGTCCGATTTAAAGTAAATATCACATTCAGCTTTATAAAACTGGGAATACCAGTATCACCCTTGCTGACTAAAATTATCCTCTGAGTTCTCAGATGATAAGTTCAGTTTTGGTCATAACATAGCGCTTTCAGACTGATCTGAAGATTATCAGGTAAACAAATAAAAAGAATTTAAAACTATACTTACTTAGTGTCTGCAGCTGTTTCTGGAGGCTGTGCTATTTGTGCAGGACTGGGAATTTCTGGGAAAGTAGAAACATTTATGATACATATTTTACACTTTAATCTCTTACAGATTGGAAGTTTTAGCATTGCAATAGTGATAATTTGCTTCTTATCGAGGAATTATAAAGTAAACTCAACCACACACAATGTGATTTTATACTTCCATGTTTTTAAAACTATGCTCATCTTTCCTAGTACTTACATGCCTGTATATTGACCAAGCCCAGTGGTCTTCCCATTCACCTACTTATCTGTAATGTCTTTCAAGGTCGGCCCTTGTCTGTGAACTGCTCACAGGCTTTCAAGTTGCCTTGGACAATCAGAAATACTTAAATCCTCACAGAACTAGGACGTTTGAATTCATCTGTGCTGCAGGTCATGTATTCCAACTGCACCTAGTCTGTCCAGTGTCACCAGTGCACAGGAAATTCAGCTTGGGTTGCAAATCCTCCCGAAATTCAGAATAAATACTCTGTACCTGGCATCCTACGTCATCAATTCTCACTTTGGAAACAAACAAACTGTTTCTAAGGGTTCATGGACAGCTGACTGAGAAAAGTTTGTATATGCAAATCTACATATGAATAGTGTTGCATCATTCTTAAATCCCATAGGCAAAAGCCTCAGTTGATAAAGGTGAGCTCAGCATTCCTGAACTGCCAGTGTCCATTTATACTAGCTAATTACAGAACCCTCAAAGTGAGCTTTTTTAAAGAAAGCAAGCTGTGTATAGAATCCCACAGCAGAAAGCTACTGGTTTACAACTGAATATTCAAAGTTTCACCTTAGTATGTAAATCACATCACTACCTCATATTAGGAGAGAGAGGCCTGAATTATATACTGAGATAAGAGAAAGTTTGAATTGTTTTAGATACTTTTTTTTTTTTTAAAAAGCAGAATTATTGTCCTTGGGCAGCATGCAGAAGTTTACAAACAAGTTACTTTTTGGCAGCAGAAGCTGGTTAGTAGAATTAAAACAATCAACTCACCTGGGAAGATAAACTGTTGTCTATGCTGAATGTAGTAGGCAGCTTTTTTTTTTTAATTTTTAAAAAAAAGGACAGCAAAAAAAAAATTACCAGGAGAAAAAAAAACAAAACAAAACAAAACACAAACAAGTTAGAGGATCATCAGTAAGTGCCCCATATGCATTCAATGACTTAGTCCCAACTTACTGTTGGGAAACAGATTAGTAGATTATCAGCCTGCTTGAGGGGGTGAATTTCAGCACATGCATTTTTGGAAGACTATGACAGATGATACTTATCAAATGAAAGCTATGTTACCAATAAGCAAACAGTCTGGTGGGAAAACAACACATTCAGACTTCAAGTGGCAGAAGCAAATTTAGAGAACCCAGGAATGCTAGAAGCCAGGCCCAGGTAAAAGCTGGTATTTCGATGCTCTCTCATGTCTTCAGCTTTACAGAGATGCACCCAGAGAAGCTGAAGCTCATGACCCATCTGCAAGCATTGTTTTTATTTCAGTGAATTTGAGCAGTATGTCCTAATACAAAGTAGTTGCAGTAGAATCCTTGTACTAAACTGGCTCCGCTTCTGCTCCTTTTGAGTAGGCTAAAATAGCAACTTTCACTCACAGATCAAAAGCTTGATGCAAAATACAGCAATGTTGACAGCTAGATGTAGCAGCTAGTGAGCAGCATGTGACTTCATTTCCAGATCAAAGGAATTAAATTTATTCTCACTATGTAAATCTAGACCCTTGTCAGAGATCCTGGCTTCTGTTGACTTTGGTAAAGACCGCACATTTGGGTCCTTAATCTGTAAAGTATTGAGGGTAAATTCTTCTCCACCATACATCTATGTCAGTGGTTTAAAAATGAGTGTTGATTGTTGGTTATGTTTTGGAAGGGACTGGTAAAGTATTTCATCCCAGTTCTCATTTTCACGTTTTGCTCTAGCAATCAACTTACTCATTATTTAAAGCCACTGGTGACCGAACACAGCAGGCAGCATGCATTTTACAATACAATGAGAAAAGGGAGGAAAAATGTGATTTTTTTTTTCTTTAGTCCTTTTCAAAAAAGGAGAAAACAGAAAGATCAAATCATTTAAGAAAGGTGCCAACACTCCTTAATAATCTGTCTTCTGCAAAGGTATCTTATTGATACCACTTAAAAACTTTTAAGAACAGACCATTTTCTTTTATCAGGTAACAAGATATACCTTCATGCCTTGCTTAAGACACAACCATGTATTCAGAAACCTGCAACTACCTGTGAGGTCTTGGTAAGCCTCTGCTTACTTAGAGGCCTTTCTGATCTTGGCAGAGGTCTCCTGACAAAGGTAAGTTTACCTGGGAAGTTAAATCGTCCATCCCTCTGGCCCATCGGAGATGGGTTTGGGGGAGGTGTTGCACTGGGAGGGTTGGAAGACTGGAAAGGTGCTGGAGATGATGGTGTGGATGAGGTTGTAGAAGAAGGATTACTGCTGGAGTCCAGATGATTTATTGCTGGTGGATGCTCCTGCAAAGCAAGGAAAGTCACTCGTGAGAAAACAATAAAAAGAAAGAATTCCCCTCTGTTTACTGAACAACAGAGAAAGGAAAGCTGTCCCTAGCCTCGATTGTAGCATGGTTCTTCTAAGTGAGTAGGCAGCTGGAGCTGTGCACAACCTATGTTTTACGAGGAGAAAATGTCATATATCAAAGTCCCCTTGCAAAGCGAAAGCTCAAGGTGCCATTCTTGTTCCAACCAGAAAGGTACTGCTGCCACCTCTCCTTATTATAGCTCCTCAGTGACTTACAGACACAAGACTCGCTTCAATCGCCGTGTACCTTTTTAGTTAGTGCTTTGGGAAGAGTTCCAAATTGTGGCTCTGTTGGTCTGTCTACTGGATTATTGATATCAGAAGGGACAGACTCTGTTCTTCTTATTTTTGTTACTGAAAAACAGGTTGGAGAAGGGAGAAAAAAGCTTTAATCAGACTTTTTATTCTTGTGATACCATTAATTACATTGAAATGCTAAGAACTTGTAGAAAATTACTTACTGGGAAGGAAGGATATTCTACAAGCAGGTGCCTCTTTAGTACATTTGTTGTGACATTTTAATCTGAAAGAGAAACATTACATGTTAAATAGCAACTTGTTCTTTCCCAAAAAGAAGCAGCCTACCCTTAAGTTGTAATTCTTATGCTAATCTCAGAGGGAGTTCTGGAATGCTCCAGGCCCCAAAGTAGCATGCATTTGTATGAAGAATCCTATTATGTGTGTCATTAGGCTAATGAAAGCCATATACATATCTTAGCATCTGATTTATTTTTAAAATAGTTACCTTCACTGACTCTCATCCTGTGACAGTGAAGCACTAAAATCTCACTGCTCTGGACTAACAACCCGGACAGAGAAGCAAAAACTAACATTCTCACTGTTATTTAGGTACCCAGCTCCACTACAAGATTTGCCCATGATCAGGTAGGAGGCCTGTGGCAGGGAAATAAATTTGGTTCATCTATGTGTCAGGCTGCCAACCTAAGTATAGGTTGTGCCAAAGCGTCCCTTTGCCAGTTCAGAAGCTGACTGAAAAAGTGATGCCACCGTTAAGAGTGCATTACGTCAAGAGATACTTGTCACTGGCAAACTTTAATGAATCAAATGCAAAGTTCTTCTGAAAAAGATCATCACTGTGTGCTCACCTGCAGTACTTACACTTCACCCCGAACATCATGCTTTTCTGACAGACTTGGCAAATCTGAGATAACCAAGACTTCGTAGAGAACCTAAGTGGAGACAAGAGGGGAAAAATTCTGTTAACTGGTGTCTAAAGGAAAATTAACATTTGTAGGTAGTGACGGGCAGGCTATACTCCTTTAGCCCTTTCTGAAAAGGGCAAGTTGTGGAAAAGACTTCTCACTTTTCTGATCAACAGCAACTGAAAGAAGGCTGGCACCAACTCTGCTGGCCTCTTGCTAGTTCTCCACTCTTGGAACAGGGCTGAGAGGGGCTCAGAGGTGTCTGACAAAGAGACAGGGTGTGCATCTACACACATCTCTAGAAGGTCCTCAAAGCTGCAGCTCAGCAATTACAGACCTGAAGCCTCATGCAGTCAAAGATATCCAAGTGATAGAATATCACTTCTTTTCATAAACACCCCCCCGCCCCCCCAAACTGGAATTGAGCTTCACCTCATGAAACAAGCAAGCTCTGAGAGGAAGCAGCCAGCACACACTCCACCTGCAGATCCGGCCCACGAGCACGTGCTGCCTATCAGTTGCTGGTGTCCTGTCTCAGGTCAGCAGGACATGTCACGTGGTGCTGGTTATATTCATCTGAACATCTCTGTAGAACTGGGACCCAATTTACGGTGGGTGGGTGGTGGTGGGAGTGTTATCCCTTTTACCAAAAAATTAAACGGATGGGCTGGTTTGGCATTAGAACTGGCTGGCCCAGTTTTGGTTTGGATTTGGGAAGGGGGGGGGTGCAGGAAGCTGCAAGGGAGGAAAAGGGAAATATATGCTCTTTCCATGTGGGGAGGAAGGAGCAGCTTCCCTTTCATTTGTAGCAGTGGAAATGTTTTAGAAAAGGCCTTGTCACACATCTGGCATGCTTGGTCCTATCACCCCATGCACAACATTGCTACTGCTGGTACGCTAGTCATTATGGAATCACCAGTCAATTGGCTGTGTAAAAAAGATTTCAAGTGCATATATTAAAAAGAAATTAAGCTGAAATACACAGTTAAGGCTGAACTTGGCAAATGAAGCACCCAATCCAACTTCAAACCTATCTTAGAGTCGTGACTGCCACAAATGCACTAAACAGAATGCTGTCCTGGTCTGACCCCACAGTTTGTTTCCTCTGTGGCTCCCACAGCACGTCTTGCTTACCTGTGTGTTACAGCTAAGCCAAAGTCTCTTCGTACCGTTTGAGGGGATCCTTGGGAGAGTTCTGATGGAGAACAAAAGGATGTTTTAGGGAAGCATTACTCACAAGTGTGCTGCTTACCAGTCTAGACAGAAACAAAGTGATCACTGTCATAGGTAAGGACTAGTAGCCATGACACTGTTGTTAGCACAGCTGAGATTGCTTTGCCTTCTGCAGTAAAGCTACTGCCAGATACTATTCTCTTATTTATTTCCATATGGAGGCAATATAAGATAAGATCTGGTGGTGGAATCATAATTCTTCCTTCTTTTTATTAAATCGTTATGTTTTATGTTTAGGGATTACAGAGGGCCATCTGATTAGGTCTAGGCCATTGTTAAAACAAAATGGCAAGTCAGACTTTACTCCCAACTGGTTTACCACGAATACCATTACCCAGTTTTCATACAGTGTCAGTAGACTTCAGAATATTTGTTTACACTGAAAATTATTATCTCCATTTTACAGACAGGGCCAGTGTGACCCAGAAGAATAAAAAGACTTACATGAGATCACTTAGCTAGCTGATAAGTGCAGAAAGGGAGACCTAGACTTCAAGAGGCCAGTCCAGCGCTCCAGTGGTTATACCGCATAACTTCCTAAAAACTCTCAAATACTATGATTCAGGCATATTTCCTGAATTAAATCTATAGCCATATTGCAAATCTGGAGAAAACTCATCTGCAAGTATCAACAGAGCTTCAAGGCTGGACACTGTCAATGCTTACAAAAAGCCAGTCTCTTTATTTGACCCTAGATGGCACCAGATTCTTTTTTATCATTATTCCAGTGAACTTTTAAAGGCATCTGTGGTCTTCAGCATCTTAGAATAGGCTGGAATGACTAGTTGCTTTTCCAAGGAATATTGCTGATTTGGTGTGGCCATCCAAATGCACAGTCATCTGAATGAATCATAATACAACAGCTGAGATGGCTGTTAACATCAATTAAGATGGCTAAGTCCTTACTGAAGAGTCCTAATGAATATAAAAAGTTTGGAATTGAATGGGACTTAAAGGAGCCTAGAATATAGATTTTAAAACAGACAATATGACTATATGCATAGAAGCACCAAAAGTCTTCATTTCTGTTTGAATTTACTCTAATGCCTTTTTTATTTATTGCATAAATTCTATCACTTTCCACAGAGAAATGCTCGGATTTCTGCTTGCATTTTCATTTTACAATTTTCTTTCCATGCTTTTTCATTTCTGAAAGTAATTCCTGGGATTTTTGTTTTAAAGGGCATTAGATATATGTGTGGTGCTATAATGTCCTTATTTGGACTTTTATACCTTACAAAAAGGTGAGACACTTTCCAAGATGCTCATATCTCTCTACAATAGCATCCAAGGTTTCAGGTTGTGTCAGACAGACACACACAGTCATGTCAGGATAGCTAAAACACTAAGTGGCATTGATACTTTACTGGACAGAAACACAAGTCCTAGTCCTGTAAGCCATTAAACATGTGAATAGATTCATCAACATCAGAGGAAGCATTCCACATTTAAGCAAGCACATGCTGAAGCATTTCTCAGAAGGTTGCACATAACTGTCTAATTTCATTAGAGAGATACTTGGCAATGAATATCCAAAGATACTAAATGGTTAGATATGAAATTATTGATGCCTCTTGGTACTAGAAATAACAGCTGTCTGAAGTCACAGACAAGCAGTTACACCCAAACCCCTTGCTTTAACCCTTTTCCTTGCTTTTGTCATCTGAAGAAATACCAGGTACAAAAAAGATCATGTAAACATCCTGCAGTTTTCTAGTAGGCCAGGCTCCTGTTACAGTTAACAGAAACTCTGGGATGGAAGGCCCTATTGAGGACCTCCAGAGGTTCCACAGGGATGATCAAAAGATAGTTGACAAGGTCAGGTTCTTCTCTCTCAGCAATGAAACGAAGACAGCCCTGTAAAATCTCTTACCGAACCTAGAGAGAAAGAAAAAAAATATTTTTTTTTAAACATTCATATTCATGTGACAGGATACACACTTTGATAGAGCAGAAACTCTTTCCTGCAGCGTTTGATGTCAGGTTTACAAACATCTCTGGTTTTGCACAGGCTCCTGAAGTTGCTGCACAGCCAATGTTTTCCTGCCTACAAATGGTAGTCTTTGCTGGGTAGAGCTCCAGGTCCAGCCTGTGAGTGAAGTGTGCAAGAGTGTACCTGAATTTTGGCTTGCAGACAAGAAGTGTTAATGGGGCTGCGCAACTCACTCAGCTGGCAGGCTCCGTGGAAGTGTCTAAATCACAGAAATGCTACATTTTGCAATTCCTATCAGACTTAATCAATATGACCTAGATCACAGCAGAACCAGGTTCTCACCACTGAATTTCAAAACAAAGCTTTGCATTGGCCACAGATGCTTACTTGCTGCATTTAGATGTTTAGCAATTTGCAGGTTTTGGTATATACTTCACATGCACTCACAGTGTGGAAGAATACCAGACTGCTTACAAGGCTACACATTTATAGTGAACTCTCATGTCAATCAGCAGGCAATACAGCACTGCAGCATCAAAAGCACAGCCCTTCGCTGTTAATGCTCACCCCCAAAATCTCACCTCCATTCTCAGCTGGGCTAGTTTCCCTTATACAAAAATGTAATTCTGGCAAAAAGGTCCTGAATAGAACAGGCTCTTTGAACTCTTTCAGGTAGTCAGAGAGTTAGGGTAAGTTGTAACGATCCAGTGCCTGCTACAGAATTTGGATGCTGACCTAAGTCTCTGATGTTTGGGGATAGCCAGAGTCTTTGGAAAGCACCTTTCTTTCCCAGTTTCAACTATTAGTTAAATGTTAGATTAATACGCTTTTTTTGTGTAGGTAGGATGGAAGGTATCTCAAAGCCTGGATCAGTCCAAAAAAAAAAAGGTGTAGCCTAAGACCATTTATCTTGCTATGGAACTATAGTTGTCTATACTGTAATAAATGTGTTTTAAAGCTCACACTAGCAGCTAAATACATGTTAAGATAAAAACCTAAAAGGATCATAGAATCATAGAATCGTCTAGGTTGGAAAAGACCT